GGGGATTCGACACTATATTCTCGTATATAGGTGCGGACTTCAACTCATAACGAAACTCCCTTTTTCTCTTGCCGCGCCCAACTGGTTCGCACCCGTTATACTTTCTTTTTATTGTGAGATTAAATTTTATCAAAATGACTCATTTATTACTAACAAGTTTTATTTTATCAGGGAGGCAACGGAACGACGGTGTTTTGTATCACGATCCCACCAACGATACGTTGTTGTGATTGTCGATAGCTTGTTATAATCTGGGTCTCTCGCAACTAGGTAATAAACCAACAAATAATGTAATTACACATACAACCGGACCCAAAATAACACGTGGGTGACTTTTTGACCGGTCGTAGTCATACGTACGAATGCACCAGTGAACATATCAACTCCAACAAGATCCCAACACGAACGCACCGCTCTTATAACGAGGTGCAACCGCGGCCTCCGCTTCGCGTCGGGCCGAACCACGCCCCTTAGCTGTGATATAATGAGCATGTACCACGGCCTGTCGTGAGCTATTGCTTAACTATAATCACGTTTTAAGGTTTTCGACCTCTAGCGCTCCCGTTGACTGCAAACGCTCCGGAGGGTCGTATACTGTATATTCACAAATAACCCTCTTTGGAAAATCCTAAAATGTAGGATAGTTTGGCCATTAAAATGCTTTTTGATGAGATTTCTAGCGAGAAGTGTATATTGTACTTTTAGAATCCACGTCCAGTTGATGTGTAGGATCTATAGTTTGATAGATGTTATGAAGATGATTTGAGGTCTCGCCAGGAGAACGTGTAACGGCAGCGTCCATGTAAAGTTAGCGTCAACCCTCATGGGGTGAAAACAGTATTTCCGGTCTCGAAGTTTTCATAATAAAACCGTATTCCCCTCACTGTCAAATGATTTTAAAGCTATATCTGCAGTACTCATCCACTAAAAAACATCAGTTTATCCTTTTTAATTACACAACATTAATTGGTTTAAATTGTGTACACTGCTTTTGTGTTTTTCCCATAGGTTTTTCCCTTTCGAGATTTTGATAGGCTAAAACATCGAACTACCCATAATCCTCAGCTATTGTTCAAGCTCGGTATTTGGATGTTTTACCATGCACGTTGGGATATGGTGTTTATGCGATATGAAATCCGAAAACATTTTAAATAATTATAAAAAAATAAAATAATACTTTTTCCGAGTGTGCTTGCTTTTCTCTTTGAAAGTCATCACATAACGGCATTGTAATACACGGTTCGGCTGCATTAAATATTACACATCTGACGTAGTTCTCTATTTATAGAGCCCTGATTAGAAGACCTTTGGACAAACTGGAAGAACTGCCACGGAAACTGAATACGTGACGTGGATCATAAATATATCAGCAATTAAGGGTTGTATATATTTCACGTCATTAATCAGAATCTGCAAAGTAACTAAAATAAATGTAGTGGAGTAAAAATACCAGGTTAACCTCTGAATTGTAGTGGAGTAGAACAAAGTAGTACATGCTGCCGTAACAAAAACATTTTCCAACTTGGGGTCAATAAAGTATATTTTATCTTATCTTATCTTAATGATCGATGGCTACTGCCATATTTGCAAAATCTGCCTCTGAACCTATACAAGTGCATGTTTCAGGCTTATCAATTAACAATAGGAGGGGGTCACAGCATAAGACCAGCCTGTTAAATAAAGCTATTCTTACCTTAGCTTTCATTTAGCTTTCATGTGGGTATATTAATGCTGCCCATTATGGACAGTTTGGACGCAAGCAATTGTCACCCATTTATTAATTATATGTTTTAAATTTGATAACTTGGCAACTTCTAATTATGGGAAATACGAAAACGTCTTTTAAAACTACAATTCCCAGTAGAGACGTGCCATAGAACATGTTGCGAAACAGTTCTGGGGGGGCGTTCAAGTCCAGTTTTGAATAGTCTGCCGTGGTTACATTCCATTTCAAAGAGCTGTTTGACGCTCGGCGTAACCTTGTCACACTGCCACTCCAACATCCAATCACAGAGCTTGAGGACTAATCACAAGGTTTGTAAAGCAAAGCGGATGTTGTAGTCCCAAACGATAGCTGAGGATTCTGGGGTAGTGTAGTGTCTTCGGAAACTCTGCAGTGTCTAAACTCCGAAAAAAACATTTGTTTCTGCGAATCGAAGGTTAAAAACACAAAAGCATTGTACACAATTTAAACCAATCAATATTGTGGATAAACTGATGTTTTTTAGTGAATGAGTAATGCAGATATCACTGTGAAATCATTTGACAGTGAGGGGAATACTTCCGGTTTTATTAAGAAAACTTCGAGACCGGAAATATTGTTTTCACCCCTTGAGGGTTGACGCCAACTTTACATGGACGCTGCGGAAAGACGTAGTATACTGTTTACACGTTCTCCTTGCGAGACCTCAAATCATCTTTGTAATATCTATCACACTATAGATCCTACACATCCACTGGACGTGGATTATATACACTTCTCGTTATAATCTAATCAAAAAGCATTTTAATGGCCAAACTATTCCACAATTTAGGATTTGCCAGAGAGGGTTATTTGTGAATAAACGACCCTCCGGAGCGTTTGCAATCAACGGGAGCATGTTGTTTCTTACACGACCACTAGAGGTGCTACACTTTAAAACGTGACTATGGGTCGTAATAAGCTGCTGAACAATCAATCTATATGGTCGTTTTTTGTAGGAGGACAGGCTGCAATTTATTGTATGTCCATGGCCCATGCACACATTCTTCCACTATATTGCAGCTTTGACTCATTATTTTGCAAATTTCCACTGAAGCACCACCAATTTATGACTCAATGTTTTCATACGAAAAACCTACCTAAAGTGCAAACACATTAAGTCCTTTGCAAAACAAAATTTCTCTCAAAAAGTGAAACGACAAAGATACATGATAATTACCTGCAATAGTTAGAGTCCATTTGTAGAACTCTATGGTGTCATTTATAAAATGTGTGACAATCTCCATGGCTGCGGTCGAGGACCTGAAATAAAGCGAGGTGTGAGAATGAAGGCCTCTGGAATCTCAGCATTAAGTAGGTCAGAGTAATTATCGTATCATCTTTCGATAAATCAATAATGTCACCCTAAACATGCTTATTTTTTAACTGGCACATCATAATGCTGAAATAAATAAAAATGATTCAACTTTAACATGTAGGCCTATGAAGCGTCAAAAAGAAACCATCCCAGGCCAACAGAAGGTCAAGGCTATAGTAGCCCTTGGCCCAATGAGCCATGATATGCTCCATTGCACACAAAGGCTGGGAGCCCCGGCCAGCAGAGCGCATGTGTCAGCAGATTTTTGGCGTGCACGACCACCATTCAACCTGGTGTGCACTTATAATGAGGAGGGGGGGAGCCTCGTGCCCCACTTTTACATTGAAATGGGTCATCTACCAGACTGGCGCATATGCTGATCAGTAGCAGGGAGCACAGGCAGCCTCTGCCTCAATGTGATTGAATGATCCCTAAAAATACGAGACCCCCCTCTCTCCCTCTCTCTCCCACCCCCTCTCGCTCTCTCGTAACTGGAGCGGATCAAGCGCTGCTGCAGCATCAGTCCTGCAAGCGCTGTCCGCATAAACTGCTCTAAAAATAAACCATACACAACTGTTAGAAATACACATGTAACCGCATTGTATGTGTTCCTGACGGGTTTAGGCTGATAGATTTATAATCGGATTATTAACGATTGGAGTGGCGAGTATTTGAATTCTGCGGTATGCAGTCCGGCCTTCAACCAGGCTGACTGAGCAGTCCTCTCATCACTATGTTTTTTCCAAAAGCTCTTTCCTTCTCGCATCTGTAAAATAACATAATTCCTATCCATCCAAGATAGTGTGGTCTAAATTGTAACGACTGCACAAAGGCAATATACAATCCCAAAATATCGACATTGATCTCGCCTTATCGCGAATGAAGATGCTTATTACCTTACCGTGTCGGTGCTTTAAAAAAAATCCCTCTATAATGACTTTCAATGCAAGGTCATGCAGTGTGCGTTATTCCAGCATGGGATCAGATGAGCTTGTTCTCTATGAAATTATAAAGTGTTCCGTATCCAGTGTGCAATGAACGGGCCGTGGCATAAACGGCGATGGCATGGATTTCTCGTAAATGGACCACACTAGCCTCCACTGCGCCTCGCCTGACTGGATCCCTCTGAACCCGCACACCGCCAGCGACAAGCGAAACACAATACACCTTACACATCCGACCAAACTTTCAAAATAAAATGCACCAATAAAGGTTTTCGAAGTCAAAAATGTGAAAAAATGTTTATATAGGCTACATATTTAGTCCAAACCTTTTGTGGCTATACAAATAACAACAACAAAAAACAACAGCAATACAAAAAGCAATACAAAATATAGCTCTATTTAAACTATTAATACATTAACTCATCCGATCCAGACATGCTGGCAGCTGCTTTGTGAATTAAATCCTAAGAGTTGAAACCTGAATGACTCATAGCCGGCCTATACTTGATTGACAACAATTGAATAATTGGTTTACGTTATCTTTAAATAACTTTACGGCAACAGTTTGAGGTTAATCTTTAGTGAATATATTTTCATTCTCAAAACCAGAGGGTTTATTTGGAAGTGATGTCACTGTATTTCCTACTTTCTCCATGCTGTCTCTTTCTAGCTTGATGCAGCTCGGTTGTGCCACTTGACCGGGATGATGGAAAGAAGATGCTAAGCGCATGCGCACACATGGAGGCGGATGCAGCAGCACAGCAGTGACAGCAGTGCTACAGCAGCATCGTCAAGTCAGAAACACAAAGAGAAAGAGGAGAAATTGGTATTGCCTTCAAAATAAAACAGAAAAAAGATTAATCAACTGATGGACAAGAAATTAATTGAATAGTGTATGTGCAAAACACAATGGATACCCAAATGTTGCTGTCCAAACTTTACAAATGTGTGTACAAAAAAAGCCACAATTACTTTTGTAATTGTCTCATACAGTACCATTTCACAAACTGTTGCAGTGATTTGGTGACATCAACTGACAGGAAGTTCAAAATGACCCTGTTGCTTAGCAATGCAATTCCAGTAAAACAGTACATCGAAATATGTATAGCTATTTTGATCTGATATTACAAAATCCGAGACAGATATTGGGTTTAACAAAAGTTGGGCTTTTATTTTTGAAATACCTGAGCAGAAGCCCGTATCTCACTCGGTCTGTCTTGACATTTGGTCTCTTCTCTTTTGCACCGGCATTCCTCTTGTCCTCTACCGTAACAGCTGTTTGTTTTAATCTATACTTTACACCTTTCCTGTCGGTTTCTCCTGTCACTCGGGGATCAGCAGGGCACAGTGTGCAGTCTTTACGCATGATTGATGTGCGAGGAGACGCCTACATGCGCATCCCTTGGACTCCCCTCAGTGATGGTCGGGAGCTCTCTTCATAGGCCCTGCTATCTCTGTCTTATCACTGGAAAAGCGTTAGTGTTTCATGTTTAAATGTTCCGGTGAAATGTGAATTTGGACCACGGAGGGATTCTCAGCGATAAGGCCAAGACTTTTGAAAGATGAAGATTTGGAGCACGGAACATGTTTTCAGGTCGGTTTATTGTTTATAATAATCATATGGTCTCTCATGTGGACTATGTTGATGGGACCTTTATTCATATTTACCAAGTTTAAATACATCTGATTTTAATCAGACGCCTGTATGATTCTGCTCAGTATTCCACCTGCTCGTTATAATAGGCTTTTGAATGTAGACAAGTATGAGCATTTATCATCAGGATTCAACCCAAATCACAGCCTTGTCCCAGATAAGGGAAGTCAATATGGGGTGGCTATGTCTCAGGATTTGGAAGGTTGTTTTTTTTGCACATGTGATTCAATATTGAGATTATAAAACACATTCCATAGTCAACCATTTCAGTTTATCAAAAGATAGCCAGCCAATTGCAGCCAATAGTGATCATTTAGGCCTACTATATGTTTTTCCCCTTCATGCTACTTGTTCTGTTTTGCGCTCAGTTACCCCTGGGAGACGGTGATCAAGGCTGCCATGAGGAAGTACCCAAACCCCATGAACCCTAACGTGGTGGGGGTGGATGTCCTGGACCGCAGTCTGGACGCAGAGGGACGCCTGCACAGCCACAGACTGCTCAGCACAGAGTGGGGCCTGCCGGGCATTGTGCGAGCGGTCAGTCCCCACAACATTAACATTCAGATGTTTAGAAATATAGAAGTATACAGTCAGAGGCAGTCAGAGGCATGCATACATGGAGACAAGATAAAGGTATATGTTAAGTGACTTGTATTATTGTGGGAATAGATACTGGGAACCAACCACACGCAGACGTACGTGCAGGAACACTCCATAGTGGACCCAGAGAAGAAGAAGATGGAGCTGTGCTCAACAAATGTAAGTTCATACTGAAAGCTTTCAAATGTTGAACAAACTGAACTCACATACATCATAATACACTTAAGTTTGATTTGCTATCTTCATATACCACGCAGACATACTGTGTGGTACATTGCAATGGCTACTTCATCAATAGTGTGCATTTTATATTCATCATATATTCCGTGTAAATATACCATAATTACGGAAATGTACTTATCCCCTAGATTACTCTCACCAACCTGATTTCAGTGGATGAGAGGCTTCTTTACAGACCGCACCCAGACAACCCTGACGTGTGAGTACATTGTTAGTTATGCCTTCTTGTTTCAGAGACATTGGGTCTTGCAGGTATGCAGTGTCATTTCTGTCTTTTCATGTCTTACAATAACTCTCTGTCACCTCCTCAGTACCATCCTGACCCAGGAGGCCATCATCACAGTCAAGGGACTAAGTCTAGGCAGTTACCTAGAGGGGATGATGGCAATGAGAATGTCAGCTAATGCCATAAAGGTAATACAAGCACATTTACATTTGTGCACTTATTAAATCTTGCTATTTCTGAACTTGGATGTGTTGGTGATTTCTTTGCATGCCTTCTAACTGGGACTTTTCTGTCTCTGTACGTTTTTCTGCAGTTCCAATGTGAGTTTTCCGGACATGCAGCTAAAAGTTACACTTTTCAGCACTGTTCACCTGCATATCTATATATCTCCTCTTTAACCTGCTGTCTTTCTGTGTGGATCTTTAGGGTTGTGATGCTATTGAGTGGATTATTAAGAACTCTGAAAGAGAGAACGTGCCTCTCTGTGACATTTACTAACTCTGGTAACTCTTCTCTTTGCTTTCCTTAGCAGATTATTATAAGCATGGCACTCTTTTATACTCTCTTAAAGCTGGAAATATGCAAACATGTGTCACATAATGCTCCTGTTTGCATACACAGGACAGCAGCTCTGCAGTGCCGAGTACTTTCCCCGCTACACCTCATAGAGCAGGGGATTCTCAGTGCGTCAGGACCCTCTGGAGTTGGTACACATGCAGTGGGAGCTCAGACAGACGGTGTAATGCTGCCAAAGAGGAATGTTTTTTAGAGCTGGAATCAAGGGTCAAATTCCAGCAGGCGTGGCACAATGAAAACTCAAAACCATCAACTGCTATTCAAATCAAGGCGAGGAGAACAGGAACATTTTCTTTACTGCTGAAAAAACGGAAGGTTTAAAATTCAAGGGCCTCTCAGACTTTTATTGGTTAGAATATAATATTCCGACCACATTCTTTTAGCTCTTATGTCATATCTTCATCATATTTTAGAAGAGATACACTTGTTTTAGAAAACAAGTAATGGTGCACTGACAATATGCAAAAATGTAATTTGAATCGATGTTCTTCTGTATGTCCAACACTGGCGACAACTGCTGGAATTCAAATCTGAGAGCTATTTATGTGTTCCATGAGGCAAACACTGTAGATGATATGTTTGCATGATAGTTGTATTAAAAGAGGAGATTGTGTATTAAAGATAGATTGATATTAGCTAGGTAGCAAGCTTTACATTTGATAATGCAGATCAGAAATGATGGGGAAAATATGGGAATGTATTATTAACATTGCCTTCTTTATCTGCTATCAAAGCAACAATACAAGGGCACCTTTTTGTTGTAAACATTCTGGGCAAAATGCCTCAAACCAGCAGATTTGATTGAGGAACATGACATGTTCAGCTTTATAGTTTTTCCAGCCGTCTCTTTTATGCCTTAGCAAGTCGGACACGCTTCCAAATGTTGACTTTCTCTATAAAAAGCTACCTACCTACACTCCCTCTAAGGATCAGTACTGTATGTGCAACACTGCTGGAAACACACACTATTACAAATGTCTTTTGTGCTAAAACATATTTCTTTGTAATATAAAAATAACTACATAATATTTGTATACATATTATTTATCGAAAACGACATGTAACAAGCAGTGAATTGTTATATTGTTGGTACTGTCGTACAAAACGGTTTAATTTGCTTTTTATATTTTTGTTTTAACTTCAACTGTTGTCCTGCTGAAACAATTGTTTAAAAAAATGATATGCTTTTTGTGTTGCTTTAAAGACAATGGAGAGGTCCGCTTGTATTTGAAGGTACTTAGTAAATAAGTCACATTTCTTTTATAAGTTTATTTAATTACCAAGATCTTTTTTGTACTACTTTGCAGTTTATCATGTGTCCAATAGAGGGCACAATCTAGCGTTCAGCAACAGGCAACACCACAGACCTCTATACAAAAGCTAGTGTGCATTTTAAATCTGGATACGAATTGTCCAGCAAAATACTTTAGTGTTGGCTCAGAAATATCATGTTAAGATGTGAAATGGAGGCAATGGCACAAGTTAGATTATTTTTCTTCTTTTATTTATTCAACAGAACATAAAGAGAATGCATTGCATAGCATGTACATTATTCCTCACTGCCTGCACAGTAATAGAGGAAAGTCTGGGTAAAACAATTGCACCTTCATCCTAATATTTCAGTTCCTTGTAAGAATCTCAATAAATAAGTTAACAATCAGCTGAGTGTTTAAAAAAAACATGCGCGACTACAGAAAAATAAGTTGCTTCAGACAGCCAATGTAAAAGACTTCTGTAAATGAGACATTAGCTGCTGATGATTAAAACAAAAGAAAGCATCAGGATGGGAAAGCATTGCCAACAAGAAGATAGATGTACCTGTTTCAAGTTTCATGATAAGACACACGCCATCGTTATACTGACTACGGTTACAATCTTGGGTAATACTGTACTCAAGAGCTGTTGCTATAGCAGTCACATGAGAAAATGAACACACAATTTAAAAAAAAAACAGTCATATCAAATCTTTATAAAAGTGAAAAACAACTAAAGTTAAATAGAAAATGTGGTGCGATCAATAAAGGACTCCCATGCTTAATATCTCTTACTGCAGCAACTCAAGATTTACTGTACGTCTCTACATCCCAGTGCCTGAAAGAACAATATTGCAAACTTCCTCAAACGCATTGCATCTTACCATGTAAGCAGGACACATTTCAAAACAGGTTTGAATAATCTTACTTCCTGTGTTCGAACATTTCAAGGTTTGAACACCCAACGAAAATTAAAACGAACTCCCAAATTTGGGAAAAACAAGTGCACACATCTGAGGTCAAGAGCTGTGTTTACTTTGGAGGTGTCCTTTGAAAAAGCACAATAAACTAAGACTAAACCCTGACAGCAAAGTGTTCCCTTTATCCTCCATCCACAGGCCCACTGCTACATCTCTTTTCCTCTCCGTCACATTTACTCGCTTTCAACTGGAACTCTCCCAGAGGTTTGCACTCTTTCAAAAACAAAAAAATAAAACTCAATTGCAAAATCGTCCCACTGCCTGAGGCCCCTCCAGCACGCCTCAACAAAATACACATCCAGGAATTCATTCTGCTATAAAACAAAATTGCACATTTCTATGTACAGTATGTACAGTCAGTTCATCTGGATTTTAGGGGGAGGGGTCAGAAGTTAAAAAGGTTGATAAAGCCCTGAGGGGAGAGGGCCATGGTGCAACTGTCAGGGTTGTTGGCTGTGCAGGGATGGTTTGTATCCTAGAAAAAGATAACAACAAAAAACGATAAATATAACACAGGTTTATTTATTCAGTTTCACAAAAAGGTGATATTTTTGTTGCATATCCACTTTGATCAAATGCAAAATATAAATAAATACTACCTTCCAGAAAAGGATGTGGCAGTGTGAGCAGAAGTGCAGGGTGTCGATGTACTCCTCTCTGTGAGGATAGCAGCGGCTCAGCTTGAAGTACATCTTCTTCCACTCCAGCTGACCTTTGTCTGACACCATCAGACGCTTTCGGATCTGAAGAAGAAGTAAACACACTTTAAGACACGACCCAAGGAGAGAAAAAAGGTTTTAGAAATATCTACTTTAATGTCAGCTTTCTTGAGAATTTATTTTGAATGCCAATTCACTGCAAGGGCAAAGAGAAACTGTTCAAAAGATGGAGCCTTAAACAATAAGAATAAATCTAAAGCACTCTAACTTAAAGTAAAGCTTCACTGTAACCTACTATACTTTAGAGTAAAGCCTGAGACTTTGTGCATGTTTTGGGCATTCTTAAAGGTTACTCAGTCTCCTATTTTAATGCAGAAATGTTTTTATCCTTGTATAGTCCCTTTAAATGGGATTTACAGTGTCAAGTAAGTAACCTGGAGGTTATCTGAAGCCTCATTCTAAATACATTTAGGTACACCTATTAAGTCCTACATACCTGTCTGTCTGTGAAGTGGTACTGGCAGAGTCTCTTCCACAGGAGCCGGTCCTCGGTGAGGGGCCCCAGCTCGGGGCACACCTGACCCAGGCTGACCAGGTCCCTGCCGTCTTTCAGACGCTGCATGATGTTCAGCTGCAGACTGACAGGCAGGTCAGTCAGACTCATGCCTGTAGACGTGGGCTGCAGGAAACAGGAGGAACATAAATATAATGGAAATCTGAAGCTGGCGTTCCTGATATTCTCTTGTTTATTTGCGTGTATTTTTTACCCTTTTGATCTGGATGTTGTCCAGCTGCTGTTGCCACTGCAGGATGTTCTCCATGCGGTGCAGCCACGTGTTGATGTTCCCCACCAGGACGGATTTGCCCATGTCCTGGACGAGACCACACAGCGAGATGTAGAGCATCTGCAGCAGCTCCTTGATGGGACGGACGTTCTGCTGGTCATCCAGAACTGAGGAGGAAATCAGAACATATTTGCCATAATTCATTAGCTTAAAAACGCAAGTGTTACAGCGAGATGTGTAGCTTCCAAGCAGCAAAATATGAATTGTCATTGTCAATGAAAGAGTCATTAAAAAGCACGTTGTTAAAGCAAATGTTTTGGAAGTGGCTGTACAAGGTTCAAGGTTCTTTATTTATCAAACGAACATAGCTACAGTGTAGTCATGTCGATGAAAATCTTGTGTGACAGGCTTCTCCAACAGTGCAACACAAACACTCTTGTCTTGTGGCGTTTATAATATTTGGCCAACAGGTTTCATAACGCCACCTAAACAAGCTGAATCTCTGTTTAGCAGAGGGAACATTTAGTTTATACTGAGGCGCCTGGTGACTGTCAAGTGTTTTTCACTGCGCAGTTAAAGCACTAAATTCACTCCTCTGCCTTCTTTACAGGTCATCACGCTAATTTCCTCACTTATTAGTGCAACATGTGGTACATTTAGTACATTTGATCCAACAATAAAGAAAATGGAATGGACTTGGAATGTGCAAGAATTGTGATTTGAAGTAAGAAGTGTGAGCAGTAAGAGCAGGACATTAAACCCTTCAACACAAACAAGAGGAGAAAAAGAGTTGAGTGACTGTAAAAAGCAGAAGTGGGTAGACACTCACCTTTCTGAACCACTCTCTCCAGAATATTCATGTAGTTTTTCTGCGCCACTCCGCTGAGCGAGGGCAGCTTGGACTTGGCAATAAGCTCCAGAAGCTAGAGCAGAGAAAGAAAGAAACAAAACATCAATTTCAACCCGTCAGCTGCAAAGACTCTGTTCCTTCGCCTCCTTACTTAATGTTTGTTATGCTGCATTCTCACAAAAGCACTTGGATTGGTGACGATAATGGCTGTCTAAAACAAATATGGAGCTGCTCCACCTGGCCATTACTCTCAAGTGAAGCTGGCTCCAGCAGGATTCTTGGCTAAGATCACTTTTTATCAGAGTCTACTGGAAAAGGTGTTGGACAAACGCCCGGGCTGTCAACAACATCAGCCTCAGCAAACAAGCTTTTAATCATTTGACTCCTGATCCTTCTGTCATGTGAATTAGCTGATTGATGTGACAGAATGTGTCTGCACATGTGTTTGTGTGTGTGTGTGTGTGTGTGTGTGTGTGTGTGTGTGTGTGTGTGTGTGTGTGTGTGTGTGTGTGTGTGTGTGTGTGTGTGTGTGTGTGTGTTGCTGTTGGCTAGCAGACAATATTGGGTTCCAGGGTGGCATGTCTGGCTAGTTACAGACGATGTGACGTCATGGAGAAACTCAAGTTCCCCCTTGCTCAATTCTCACCGGAACATTTGTCAGCATATCAACATCAACATATTGTGAGGGGGTTTTGGGTGAAATGTAGAGGAGCAGTGCTAGCAGGAAAATAATAAGAGGTAGCACAAACTTCTCATTGCGTTTCTCTAAAGTCAAATCTTCTTAATAATTCCCACCTTTGAACTAAATTACTTTGTTCCTTCAACTGACTTCATCCCTGTCAGTTTCTACAAATGTTAAGCTTTTTCGCTAACTCTTCTTTCTCTCATTCTTTCCTAAAAACCTAATCCTGTGCCCTTCTCCTTTTAGCAGCTCATTGAGTGCTCCTCTCTTTGTAGAGCAGCCGGGCAGAACAATGTGCGTTTCTGTATCTACTTATAGCCCTGGCTGTTCACTGAACTGCACTTCACAGCTTGGCGTGTGGCTCATACTTTTCCAGGGACGCAGCATCAGTATATTCTAGTAACGATATAACAGCCTTACACGATCATTTTAAGGTTTCTGTCTCCTTGAAATAACCTCCAGGGAAAAGAGAGGAGCTCTTTTTGTCTCTTTGTGGAAGAACCCGATCCGTGTAACTGAGACGGAGTCAAACAAACCCACAAATGCCATCACACACAACCAGTGAAGAGCGGTGACCTAGGACAGCGTGTCCAGACTGGACACTAGTGTTACACAGCCGTATTGTTCTTTGGGATTACAACACTGCTCTTATAAGCTTGAACCTGCGGCAAAAAGGTCAATCCAATGCTTGAGTAGAAAAGGAAAACAAATGTCAAACTTTCCTGTGAAAAACTTCTCTGTGTGTGTGTGTGTGTGTGTGTGTGTGTGTGTGTCTGAATCACCTGACAACCACCGAGTCTGGTTTTATAAACCCCTGTCGGGTTGTCGCACCTCACTGCACAGCCAGCTGTCACCTCCCCCAAAGACCCCCCCCCACTCACATGGGAGCACATGTGGGAGAGCTGCTGTGTGGTTCAGTGTGGTGACACTTTGATGTGGAGGGGAAAAGCTCCAAATTCAACTATAAGGGATTTTCTATTGCCATCCCATGATGAAATTAAATTATTGATAATGATATAATGAATGCTGATGATGTCTATTCCTACCTTTAGTGGATCAAATTAAATTCAAATAGGAACTCATTCTAAATAAAGCATTTGTTTAAATTCTATTTAGGGATGCCAAATGGCTTAAGTGATCAGACAAATGTCATGCTACGTCACACTTTTGCCCTACAACTAACACACACATTCATACACTCCCTGGGTCGGTATCATCTCCATTAGAGACTCTTGTCTGCAGAACATTGATAAGAGCCAGGCAGAAGCCTACACCCGCTCTTAACCTTAACCTCTTCCCTGCCAATGACTAGCACAAAGGAGAGAAACAGAAATGCACAGAAGAAAACAAAGAGACGAGGACTCACTCTGACGACGTAATTGAATCTCCTCGTTTCCTTGATGGCGCTGCAGAAGTCTAAGCGGTTGAAGGCTTCTCCCAGTGTACAATATCCGTGGCGCTGGGAAAATTCAATTATCAGGGTATTAGATTGCGAGCCTTGGCAGGAGTTATCTCAGCATGTTTACACAAGCAATGAAGGTGTGAAAAGCTGAAATGAGTTGATTTGTTACCTCTTTGGTGCTTCCTTTATGAACATAAATCCACTTCTCCCTGTGGAAATCTGAAAGGAATCACAATGTTTATATTAGCGGCCTTCCCTCATTAAGCAGCTTATAAGTACGGTGACAAATGCACACAACACCAATAACATGCAGAGTCAGTATATTGAATTGGAGTTGAGAAAAAGGATGTAAATTAATCATAAACATTATTATCAGTTACAAAACACACTTGTGAGCTTCTCCTGTTAATGTTTTTGGTATATTTAAATTATATTCCGTGACTTTTTACCCCACACATAAATTACAAAATCCTTAAAACAATTAGTTAGACAGTGTGGGCCCTTTCGTTGAGACTCACAGGGGACCTTGATGTTGTTGTTCATTTGGTCTTTTTTCCTCTTCTTGGCAGCCATGTCGTAGC